CAACAGGGCTTGGAACTCCTCAGAAACAGCATGTTCCTCAGGGGGACCCATAGGAAACTCGTCACTGTGGCCCTCAGGCCCATCACATTTATCCTGCATATTGCAGGTGATGTATAAAGTTAAAGGGCAGCAAACAACAATCAATCTGAAAGAAAAAACAAATGTAGAAAAAAATAGGTAACCACAGCAAAGGAAAAAGTTTTCAGGGTTTAGTAACCCAAAGGAATAGCAATAGAGAAGTGACAGATAACATGAAAATGAATAAAAGAAAAAACTGCAGCATTTCACATAATGAAGAGTGTACAAAACATAAAACTCACAGGGGTTAAGCAGTGGCGTGCCCAGGGAGAAGAGAGCAGAGCAGGGAGTCTGCACAGCGTTCCGCCTGAAAACGAGGATGGGAGGAGGTAAGAAAAGATGTCCGCCGCACATGTAGGAATGTGAGGCAGCCGAGAGACTGGTGGATGGGGCGTGAACGCAGGAGCAGCGCGGCCCGACCCTAACACGCTAAGCGGAGGCTCACCGGCGTGCACCCGATCAGGGTTGGGTGGAGACGCTCCCCACAATTACCGTGACCGGCGGGGGGGGAGAGATAGGGCTGGCCGCCGTATAACCACACAGGCGGCAAACAGACCCATGGGGCACACCACAAGGGAAACCAATATAAAAAACACACACAAGAAAAAACAAGAAAAAGGAGAAAACAATTAACAGGCCCCTAATAAGCCACTAGGGCTAGAGAAACAGGGGCAAACAAGCAACAAACAGCATTAAAATACACCATAAATCACAGAGCATGAAAAGTATGTACTCAACTGGTCTGAGAGCAGCAAAGAAAGAGGGGGATTGTGGGTGCATCAAGCATGTTATAGTCACTTCCTGTATTATGTGATTGGTTGCTTGAGCACTGTAATTTTTTGTTCATTTCAGTTATTTATTCATCTCTATTTCTTTGCTGCTAGGAGTAATAAAGAAAGAGATATGCATAATAGGAGCCTCCGTGTCTTTAATAAAATCTGGTGACCATTTGCTTAAAAAATTTCCTACTATGGCACTATATTCACTTTTACGAAGTATACTTGGATTGTACTTTGTTTTTGTACATTGTTTTGCAGATGTATCTCAGAATGAATACTAATCATCGATACATCAGTAACTTGTCCTTTATGCTCATGTATTTTAAGCATATATTTATGGAAAAAAAAATACAAAGAATAAAACAAAACAAGCAAAAAATAAACAAGCAAAACCAGTACTACAAACAATGTATAATAACAAAGCACACTATTTCTGAGAAATTAGTTGGCTGGATCCAGTTGACAAACTAGTAAATGTAACTGAAGCTTCTGTACAGAAATATGACATTTAACTAGGCATCTACTATTTTTATCCAGTTTTATATTTTTGTTCTACAACGTTTTTCACTGCTGCCAGTTGAACATTGACCTTATCTAGACCTTTTTTTCAGAATGGCAGAACTTCATGCAGAACTTCATGCTGCGGTTCAACTCGGCAGAATTTCAGTATCGAAAATAAAATCAGGAAACAAATTCAGACCGGCAAAAAATCAGGAGAGAAGGTCCAAATATGACTGTGCTAACATGTATAATTCACTAAAATATTGTGTGGACGAATGGCTATGCAGTATCAGACATTTGTGCCATACCAGTTTTTTTTATTCTTTATTTATGCATTTTTACATTTTTGTACAGGTCGGTGGTATAAACGTACCAAGACATGTCATGATTAAAGTGTACCATTTCATACAGTATAGTATACATTAAAGCAGAGTCATAAATATCTTGCAGCATACATTTGACTTCTTTGGTTGCTGGTATGACATCAGTATTATGAGGAGTAAAACATAACATAATAATTCTTGTCGGTTAGACAAAGTAACATAACATATCATTAACAGAAATAAGTGAACTTGGGTAACCAGTCTTTTTATGTACAGAGTAGCAGGAGTGCTGTGTTTTCCTCACTTGGCATTTGTAATGTCTGTTCCTGTGTTGAGTTTTTGTAAGAGTGGTGAACTTGAGTAATAAACCCCGAACATTATCCCTGATGGTGGGGCTTGCAATTATGTGCTAGTAGTTAGGCGTTAGGCATGCAACTGTGGGATTGGATTAGTGTGTTTTTGTCCTTTTAACGGGGTTCCCTGAATGACTGTGTTCTGTGTATTGGGTTAGGCGGAGTTGTGTGTCGGATTGTATCCATCTCTCGGCATTCTATGATATCATGGTTTGGTGAGTTGTGATTTGGTGGTTGTACAGATTTGTTGCAAATATGAAATATGGGATATGAGTGTGCGTTTGATCCTGCTCATGGATTGGGTGATGGCTGTTGGGGGTGAGCATTTGGGTTCACCTGTTGGTGGGGTTGTATATCATACAATGGGGGGGAGGGGTAGAAGTAGAGAAGAGAAGAGTAAAGACTAAGGGGGTGTAATTGGTTTGAAGTAGTAGGTGGGGTTCAAGAAGAGGGTAGAGCTGGTCGCTAGCGGCTCCCACCGGGGCCGAGCCCCTATGAGGGCACTGTAAATTCAAAGAGCCATGGGTCCCAAAATGCGTCAAAGTGTTTAGTAGTATCATGGCGATCTGCCAGAGAGTGGGGAAGCGGGGGGACCGGCACAGGGCTCCCTCCATCCCTTACCTATTATCGAAGATCCGTTCAGCAGGGTAGCTGTCGACCTTATAGGTCACCTAGTCCCTCTGGAAAGAAATACATTCTGACCATTGTGGACTACGCGACTCAGTATCCCTGAGCAATATCCGGGCAGAGACTGTGGCTGAAGTCCTGATGTAAGTGTTCTCACGGATGGGTTTTCCCCTGGAGATTCTCTCGGACCAGAGCACCCAATTTACCGCCGACATCACCCACTAACTATGGAAGATGTGCGGCATCAAACCAATTCTGTGCTCCCCTTACCACCCCCAGACCAATGGCCTGTGTGAGTGCTTCAATGGCGACTCACAAGGATTGGGAGAAATTCCTGCCCCATCTCCTGTTCACTTATAGGGAGGTGCTGAAGGAAATGACTGGATTCTCTCCATTCGAGCTAATGTTCGGCCGTAGAGTGAGGGGACCCTTAGACCTAGTGCGGTAGCACTGGGAGGGAGCTGGGGATCAGGAAGGGACCTCCATCATTCCATATGTGCTGGAGTTCAGGTACCGACTGGAGGAACTAACTCATCTGGTGCGAAGGAACCTCCAGGTGGCCCATAGGCGCCAGTGCACATGGTATGATCGGGGTCCCAGGAGCCGTAGCTTTCTAGTCGGGCAGAAGGTTTTAATGTTGAAACCCGTCCAACATGACAGGCTGCCTGGCAGGGCCCTTACCGGGTAGTGGAGCGGAAAGACAACTCTACCTAGGTGATCGATCCATGCTCAAGTACCGGAGTCCGATGCCTGTTATATGTGAACATGCTCAAGCCCTACCACGAGCGGACAGAGAACGTCACCGCCATTTGCACGCCAGCCTCGGAAGATTATGGCAATCTTCTCCTGCCTGACCTCCTGGAGGATGGGACTCAGGCAGGGTCCATAGAAGAAGTCCAGTTGGGGGACCGGCTAACTGATAATGAGCACAGCCAGGCAAAGCAGATGTTGTTTGCCAAGCAAGCGACATTCTCCAATCTACAAGGGTATGCCCCCCTGGCCACCCATTGAGTGGAGACCCCCAACCAACGGCCTCTAAGGCAGACCCCATATCGGCTACCGGAGGCTGTGCGGGGGAGAAAGATGGGACCACCAGGTTCTGTGTGGACTACCGGAGGCTCAATGACGAGACGGTCTCCAAAGCCTACCCCATGCCCACATAGATGAGCTGCTAGATATGATTGCACGGGGCCGATACCTCACCCCCATTGACCTATACAAAGGATATTGGCAGATTTGTCTAGCAGCGGAGGCTGACCCCAAGTCCGCCTTCATCACCCCTTTTGGCCTGTACCAGTTTAAGCAATGCCATGTGGGATGAAGAACGCCACTTTTCAAAGGATGGTGGACCGGCTGTTAGATGGCCTCCAGGAATATGCCTGTGCAATATACAGTGATGCTTGGGAAGAACACTTGGTACATGTGGGGGCTGTGCTGGACAGGATTGGGGAGGCAGGATTGACTCTGAAGCCCAGTAAGTGCACCCTGTGGATGGCAGAGGTGCAGTACCTGGGGCACTGGGTGGGGTGTGGGACACAGAAGCCAGAGCCTGACAAAGTGGTGGCAGTAGCTAGCTGGCCCTGTCCCCTCACTAAGACCCAGGTGCTGGTTTTCCTAGGAATGGCCAGTTATTATAGGAAAATTGTCCCCAATTACAGCACCCTGGCTAAGCCCCTCACCTGGCTGCTGCTAATTCCAGAAAATGTTTTCTTGTTCACACAGATGCCTCCATGTTTGGGTTAGGAGTGGTGCTTAGCCAGGTCAGGGATGATGGTGGGGAACACCCCATGATTTACCTCAGCATGAAGCTGCTGCCCAGGGAGGTAAGCTGCGCCGCCATTGAGAAGGAATGCCTCGCGGTGGTGTGGGCACTCAAAAAGCTGCAGCCCTATCTGTATGGTCAGCAATTCACCTTGCTCACAGATCACGACCTGTTGGTATGGCGTAACCGGGTTGCAGGGGACAATGCCAGGCTGCTACGGTGGAGCCTGGCTCTACAACCGTATGACTTTACCATTCACTGCAGACCTGGTAAGCATAATGGCAATGCCACCGGTTTGTCCAGACATACAGTCCTAGATAAATGATCCATCAGCACTTCCCCAGACATTCCCAAGCTGATCCGTCGGGATCAGTCCGTGTATGCCGGTTGTTGGTCAAGGGGAAGTTGTGTGACAGGACCGCTGCCACACATCGAACATGTGGTTAGAATGTTAAAAACTCGCTAACGAGGTGTGAAACCTGCAGACCACAAGGGAAACAAGTGGCACGTGCTTCCCCTGGGTGGCCACCGATTCGTATCACGGAACGCCCACCAGGGGGAGCATTCGCATCCCTAACCGGCCTGCACACACTGTCTTCGATCCCCATGTTGGGGATCGTCCTGGAGCACTGATTGGAATCTACAAGGAGCCGGCAAACAATCAGAGCTGGAACGCCCATTCAAATGGGGTTTTGCATCCTTTCTCTTGATTGGGTGGCGAACCCCCTCTCCCCCGTGAGTGCTGATAGGTGCGAATTGATTTTGCGCCTCTCAGTGGATTGGTGCAATCGGGTTTCACGCCCTTTCTTCTGATTGTGCGGCGAAACCCCTCTCCTCCCGAGCGCCAAATGGTGCATGTGGGTTTTGCGCCCTCTCTCCTGTTCGGACGGTGAAACCCCTCTCCCCCCCCGAGCACTGATTAGCACAAATTGGTTGTTGCTTGGTTTGGGCGAGAAGTTTAAATTCACCAGACCTAACCAAGCAACGCTGTGGAACTGATTCCGGGGATGTACAGAGCCTCGAGCCCCAGACTTTAGATGCTGGTATTCCAGATTCTGTACAGCGAATAGCCCCGCTATTTACAGGGATCCCAGATGGGACACAGGGCTATCTAACAATATATGTTTTACCTGTGGGACCCCTTCCCTGCCCTGGGCGCCGAGCCCTAAAGTCTACCCCCGTATGTAATGTGTTGGCACGTGTGTTCCTCTGTGCTAGTGGTATCTCCCAGAGTGGGAGATGGTTATCAGCAACCCAGCCCCCTCCTACCTGGGATTTGTGTTGTGTTGTGTTGGATGGAGACTGCGGGGGTCTGTGCATAAAAAGCTGTGTGCCAAAATAAAGATTGTCAAACGTTGTACCCCTGGAACCGTGTGTCATCCAGTTACTGGGGGAAATGGGTCTCTTAATACATTAATAGCAGGGGTAACCAGCCAGGTTATATCCCTCTCCCAAGCCGAGACATAGGATAATGGAGCATTCACCAGGCTCGGGGTCAGGAGGGTGTAGATTAAGAAAATTTGACCCTTTTGTACTGGACATTGCATGCATGTATTTTCAAAAGTTGTCAGAGTGGTAGTACTAGCTGCCTTATATGTGGGGGATATCTAGGAAGAAATCATAAGATTTGATTGGTCTTTTATGGAGTAAGTCTGCAAAGGGGATTATTTGTTGACCCCGAACTAATTGGTTGACCTTGAATGAGTCAGAGAAGTTCATTATCTTCGAAACGGGCGAAGTCTCTTGGGTTCATGCCGGGTGCAAATTGTTTGTTTCTCAACACTGGAGTAAGGATGGATGGAATGGAGATGAGTGAGTGTTTGGTTATTAGTTTGTTCCAGATTGTAATGATGTAGTGAGTGCCAGCATTGTTGGTGGGAATTGGATTTGGGCTTGTCTTGGAAGCCAGATGTAACGGGAAGTCCCGTCCAAAAATTTCATGCTCCAGGTTGACCCATCGCTTAAGTCCCGCTGGGGCATGTAAGGCTTGTATTTGTGTCAACTGAGCTGCCTAAAAATAGCTTAAGAAGTGGAGAAGCCCAGTCTGCCTGCTCTTGTAGGGAGATACAACGTGGCTCTCTTTATCCTAGTTTGTTTGTTTGCCCATATGAATTTGGCAATTTGGGTCTGGAGTGTTTTAAAATCTTTTATAGAGACGTGGATAGGGAGTGTCTGGAACAGATACAGAAATCTAGGTAGAAGGTTAATTTTTACTGATGCTAATCTGCTGAACCATGAAATAGATATGCCCTCCAAAGATTCGATGTCTTGTTTTGCCTTTTGAAATAGGGGTGCGTAGTTTTGGCAGGTTTGTGCCCAGGTAGTGAATATAGGTTTGGTTGTATTGGAACATATGCCTGATGGGCGGACATGGTCTCAGATGTAATGTGGATTGGAAGGGTCTCGGTTTTGTCCAGGTTTAAGTGGTAACTGTCACATCCTGTTCCATTCTGTGCACATGTCTGGCCTTGGCTTTTGATATCCAGTACTCTTTTTTACAATTCTTGTTTAGTTTTTCGTATTTTTTTCTGGTTTTCTATTCTATGTCTGGTTTCCGTCATGCTAGGTTTTCTCGGTTCATTGCTTTATTCCGTTCCTGAAATTCCCAGTCTCCTGGATTCTTTTTTTTTTTTTAATTGACAATTTTTATTAAATTTATGAGAACACACATAATGGGATGGGGGAATACAAAAGGCAAAAAAGGTAAGGGAAAGGGAAACATAGAAACATAGAATGTGACGGCAGATAAGAACCATTCGGCCCATCTAGTCTGCCCAATTTTCTAAATACTTTCATTAGTCCCTAGTCTTATCTTATAGTTAGGATAGCCTTATGCCTATCCCACGCATGCTTAAACTCCTTTTACTGTGTTAACCTCTACCACTTCAGCTGGAAGGCTATTCCATGCATCCACTACCCTCTCAGTAAAGTAATACTTCCTGATATTATTTTTAAACCTTTGTCCCTCTAATTTAAGACTATGTCCTCTTGTTGTGGTAGTTTTTCTTCTTTTAAATATATAGTCTCCTCCTTTACTGTGTTGATTCCCTTTATGTATTTAAATGTTTCTATCATATCCCCCCTGTCTCGTCTTTCCTCCAAGCTATACATGTTAAGATCCTTTAACCTTTCCTAGTAAGTTTTATCCCGCAATCCATGAACCAGTTTAGTAGCCCTTCTCTGAACTCTCTCTAAGGTATCAATATCCTTCTGAAGATACGGTCTCCAGTACTGTGTACAATACTCCAAGTAAAGTGTCACCAGTGTTCTGTACAATGGCATGAGCACTTCCCTCTTTCTACTGCTAATACCTCTCCCTATACAACCAAGCATTCTGCTAGTATTTCCTGCTGCTCTATTACATTGTCTGTCTACCTTTAAGTCATCAGAAATAATCACCCCTAAATCCCTTTCCTCATATGTTGAGGTTAGAACTCTATCAAATATTCTGTACTCTGCCCTTGGGTTTTTACGTCCAAGATGCATTATCTTGCACTTATCCACATTAAATGTCAGCTGCCACAATTCTGACCATTTTTCTAGTTTACCTAAATCATTTGTCATTTGGCTTATCCCTCCTGGAACATCAACCCTGTTACATATTTTAGTATCATCAGCAAAAAGACATACCTTACCATCAAGACCTTCTGCAATATCACTAATAAAAATATTAAAGAGAATGGGTCCAAGTACAGATCCCTGAGGTACCCCACTGGTGACAAGTCCAAGCTTCAAATATATTCCATTAACTACATATGTACATATGTACATCCTTCCAAAAGGGTTGGATTAGTGGACAGTTCCACCATATATGTATAACTGATCCGATACTATTTTGACATCTCCAACAGATAGGTAAAGTAGAGGGAAACATTTTGTGTATCACCTCCGGTACTATGTACCACCTGTAGATCATTTTCTTTTTTTGCTCAATATGTGGATCTGATTTAATAAGTTTTTGGGGATTTGTAGAAATATTGATCCATGGTTCCTAAGTAAGCTCAGTAGCCAGATCATTTACCCATTGTTTCCCTGGTCTAGCGTCTGAGAGAGGTATGTAATCTAATAATAATTGGTAACGTGGAGATTGGTTTACATAATACGGGTAATTTTTTGTAGATACACAATTTTTCCATTATCGTAAGTTGTTCACTGATTATACAGCGAGGTGAAAGCTGTATATCTTGTTTGTGTAGAAAAGTGTGGGGATATTTATGGAATGATAATATTAAGCAGTCGAGAATTGCCCACTATTTCACTTCTCTTAGATCTTAGAGATCGTTATCAAATAAGTGAAAAGTATTCCATAAATAAATCACAATATGTTATAAAAATAGATTTCTTTTTATTGTAACAAATAACATAACAATGGTATTAGGCAGCATGCATGATAATAATCAGTGAGTATTTAGTATAACACAAGTATGCAATACAATGGAATGGCTATACATGTTAAGGCTAGCAGCACCAGCTGTCAAGACTTACACGATTTATGAGGTATTTTGCAGAACAGAAAGCAAACTTCACACAGCCCAGCATTAAAACCTTGGCTAACAGTTAAGTCAACTGAATAACCCTTTCAATGCTGGCTAGATCCTCCTGGGCATATAGTATCCTATTCTCCTGTGATTTTCCATTAAAATAACATTTAAACCAGCTCATTAGTCATTTCCTGGAACCATCCAATAAGAATAATCTACCAGGATTCTATAAAATCTGAATTTTAATTTGCCTAAAAAGATATCTTATCTTATTTTAGAGCAAATCAATACACCTGGATAAAAACAGCGGTATGCTAACACGTGATAATATCACATTAATATATAATTATTCTTAATTCCACCTGCAGAATGGAATGTTTATAACTATATATTCTTTAGTTAACTAAGATTTCTAAATATTAAAATCTGACCGTGATTTATCCAGTCATTTATCATGCTATTAGTAAATTTTAATTAATTTAAATTAATTAAATAAAACCAGCATAATTACCAGTTATGTAGATATTCTCATCAGATGAGTAGATAGTCCCAGGAACTTGATTGGTTGTATTGAAGTGCGTGAGTGATAGTGAAAAGTGGTGTTGGTTAGAAAGTATCAGCACATTTTAAGTGTCAAGGAGTTTAAAAGAGTTGAGTGTCCAAGAGTTTAAGAGTAGAGTGTTAGTCCCAGAGAATGTCCTGGATCTCTCTGCATGTCCGAGTTGGAGTCCCCAAACTTCAACTCCCTCTCTCTGTATCTCTCTGTCTATCCAACTTTTCCCTTTGTCCTTACTTTTAAAGGGCCAGACTCTTTGTACGTCATTAGTTGATAAACCGATAGGAAGCCGTAGGTGTGTCCAATCTATGGATCGCAATTTAGGTATTTGATCCATAGAGGGCAGTCTCGTCTAACTAATCCTTCTTATCCAGGAAAGAGTTAACTTTTCCTGATGCCGATTTTGACGTCATTTGGCTTATCTAAAATGACTACCATAACTTAGATTTGCTTTCAGTTCAAAGCGTTTGTCTCAGTCTTTGTGGCAACTACTTTGATCGTAACTTGTAAAATTGACAGTTCTAAACTCAGTTTCACCTCTTACTTACAATGGAACCTTGTAAAATTTAGAAAGTAAAATGAATTACTTAATCTTCTCTGTTACTAGTGTCTGTGTTTAGATAATGCATTCCTTAGCTCAAGCAAGTGGTTAGTGAAAGTAAGAAGAAATCAAGGAAATTATGTGTTTTTGTTATCCTGAAGATAGCAAAATTGAGTCTGCTCTGTTTCTGAGTGAATTGGCAATATACACCTTTGATTTCTT